ATATGAAATGGGCTAAAATGAGTCCTGCGGAACACAGGCTACGAAGCGATTCATTCTGACGGGAGACGAGGATGGAGCAGGGATGTCAGTGCTGGTCCTATTTCAATAGATGGGAGAATTGAGGAAGGGAAAGAGAAAGGTGAACAGATCATAAACAGAGAAAAGGAAACCAGCTGGAGGTGAATACAGGAATAGAAACAGAAATAAAGGGGTGGGGGACAAAATGGTAAGAAACGGGGCCAGATGTAATTTTCAGAGAATTAACCTGGGAAATAGTTATACCTCAGGAGGCTGTGAATCTAAGGACTTTCCTTGAAGTGCCAAAGGCATAAACTAATCTATTTAATTAGAAAAATATGCTTGTATTGCACTTTGAGTAGTTTCCCTGAAGAAAACAGTTCAAGTTTTTGTTTAAACCCTCTCTCCCCCCATTCTCCTTGCTCTACTGTGGAGCCTATTCCTCTTCAGCAGGGCTCACTCCTATGCAATTATTGTTAACCAGGATGTGAATACGGCCCTTCCAAGGTCTCTTTTTGGGGTATCAGGATAGAAACACATTAACCTAACTATACCTGAGCCCTGCAGAGGTAACTTTTTAATAAGAAAGAAAGAATAAAAACTCAAAAGGCATTTCTTAAGTGACTCACCAAATTTTCACAATAGCAAATAATCTGGTAGAACAATACAATATGTAATATCTTAATATCTTACAAGATAGTGAAATAGTCAAAATAAAGCAGAACAACTCTAGTCAATTCACCATTTTCTTTCATTAAGTTTGTGGAGTCTAAGAGTATTCTCTAAGCAGTAAGGCTAGACGCTTAGGTTTTCTTGTACCTACAGTAAGAGGAAAATAGATTCTGGTGGACTGCAAATTGAAACAAGATAAGCTTATTTTTACATGCCATAATCAGGGCTGCAAATAGAAATTTAAATACTCTATCATAATTTTGCTCTTGAGTATGGAAATTCAAATATATTAAAATACTCTAAATAAGCTACTTGCATTTTTGATGAAAAGATTAAGAGAATATGTTCAATTCTAATCTGTCCCCTCCTAGTTTTGTAGTACTTGCTTCTCATACATTTACATTTTTGAAACAGTCTCAGATAAATACTAAACGAAGGAATATAAATTCAAAATAAATATACTAAGAAACAAACAAAAGCAAGCTAAAGGTATAAGGGGTGGAAAAGGAAAGGAAGTAAGCATACATGCTGAAACCACACAAATGTAATGCTAATACTTTGTAGTTGGGAAACATGTTTTTAAAATCTTGATGGTGGTACTAAGCAAAATTAATAAAAAGTTTCATAGCCAGCTTAACTCGCATTTTTCCTTCATTTAATTCTAAAAACAGAAATGGATAATCTTGCGATACAGTGTAATATGATCTAAAATCTGCTTTGGGGCCCAAGGAACTTTATTACCTGGAGACACTTGTCCACAGTCAAACCCATAACATTATTAAATATCGTAACCAACAATTCATTTCAGGTAGGTTTCTTCACATCCAAGTGACCAGAATTTGAACCTGTGTTTTGGTGGCTACAGGCAATGTATCTCATTATAAATAAAGAATGGAGTTTAAATCTCAAGGAAAGCTTTCTTGATATCTTTTTTTTTCACTGAATATTAAATACACTTCAGTGTACTTTAATGAACACCTATGACTTATGGTTTCAGAAACATGTGTATGCAATTGTTCTGTTTTAGAGCTTTTTTGAATGCATGCACCATAATTCTTTTCACATTCTGTATACATATGTGTCAGTAACCCAGAAACTCAATGAATATATTCCTAAAGGCTAACAAAGTGTGATGAAAGCTTTATTTTTATTTGCCTTTACTATTATTTACTGCTTCATGAAAACCATAAAACCATTCTTATAACTAAAACTCGATCTGTTAAAATGATCTTACCCTAGGAACTGTACAAACACAACTTGCAAGTTATTTTTATAACAGATCAACTCTGGTTTGAAATGGTTTCCGCAATTACTAAAAGGCATGCTATGCTCACAGAACAGAACTGATATCCTACAAACGTGGTGCCGTGTGTTTTTTCCTGGGAAACTCAGAACAAGATCTGTCAGGTATATCTGCTAGCGTAACAAACATGTCACCCAGATTTGCATTGGGAATTAAAACATCCTGTAGCCTGACAAAAGGATGTGTGTTTTTAGCAACCGTGACGAGAAGAAGCCATTGCAATACCTACACATTGTGAGTTAAAAGTCCCTCATCAGACAGCTTAAAAAAGCACTATAATCCCATGATAGAGCCCCCCTGAGTGACAAGCCAGGCTACAGAGCACCATGGCTATATCCCCACCCGTCATCCAGGCAAGTCTAATTCTATCTCCTGTAAATCTGACATGGCCTTTCTTTTATCCTTGCATTTACACATCACTTATTTGGAACCATGAATATGGGAAAATGCATGTGTTGAAGTTGAGAAATGTCATTGATATTAGAAATCCAGCCCACGTTTTCTCTAATGTCAAATGTATAACAATAACATTTATAAACGAATACTTTGATCACTGTGCAATAAGCAAGCAATAAGGTTAATAAGCTTACAGGACAAGGCCATAAAACATATTCCCATTATTTTAATAAAAAGAGTCATATTGCTAATTCAAGTCAGGACAGGGCTAAGAATGTCTCTATTTATATAATATATTCTTCGTAATCTTCTTTAAATAATGATATTAATCCATTTCTTAGTTTCAAAAGAATGCCCAGCAAATAATTCTAACAATATTTTGTACACTTCAAAATGGATCTGCACTTATTTTAATCATATATATGTGATAACTGAAAGGAATTCTCTTCAGCATAAAATACAAGTATTGTAATTAACAAAGTTTTGTTTGAAATGCCACAGGCTTTGCTTTTTTTCAGGTTATTAATGGGAAACAGACATCAACTTATTAGCAGTTTCATAAAGGCAGTCTTTTAGAAACATTTTCTATCACTTAACTACGTGTGTAATTTGGTCATATCAGCTCCACAAGTAAGGCTTTCTGTAAAAAAAAACAAAGATGTCACAGAAACCAAAGAAAGTGCTCATCACAAATGGAGAGAATTTAACTTGTACAAATAAAAAAATTTTAAAAAAAGTTTTCCCAGAAAATGTTCTAATAACTGTAAATTTTAAAACAAAATGTTCATTAAAGTTCCTTATTAAAAGGGTTCCTTTTATTGAGTAAGTGTAACTGACATGTTAGCTGTAACTCTGATAAATGAAATACAGTTTCCACCTAACTATCTCTATTCCAAACATGATGAGCAATGAATTACATTCATCATGAAGAAGTATTAGTACTCACAGTCCTTGGTTTACATAAGACACAAAAGAAATACAAATCATGAAGTGACATAGACTACCACTCTGAAACTAAAACTTAGCAGTATTTTTTGCCATCTTATTATACAAAAACTGTTGTATTCCTTAATAATGCTTATTGATATGTTTAATGGAGCTTATTGATATACGAAAGACATGAGCACATTCTTAAAAATCAGAAGTTGGGCATATTCGTATTCTATACCAATAAGCAAAAAACAATGCATTCTCTTGACCAGAAACTTTCATGTATTTAATGTTCACCTACAACCCTGGGGGTAGAACTTTATGATCCCATCTCCAGATGAGTAAAATGAGACCTGAGAAGTTAAGTAACATATTCAAGTCACACAGCTAATAGTGTTAGAGGCAGGATTTGAACACAGATCTGACTGATGCCAAATTATACTGCTAAATGCTTATTAGTAATGCTACAACTAATTCTATTCATTATCTTTCTCCAAAACATAAATAATGCAAAAGGCAGCTTTACAAATTAACATTCCTGAGTCACCTACGAAAATGTTTTCTTCTGTATCCTTGTTATTTAATGTTTAAATCTAAAAATGTACTCACAGACATCATAGTTCTAAGAGCGCTCACCAAGGCACACTTGGTGCTGCCCCTTCTGTGGGGTGGAAGGAGGGGCCAAAACACACTCCCGCCGCATCCTGCTACAGGAAGCTCCATTTTGTAAATAGCCTGCCCAAAGAGGGCACCTTTTTTCAATCTACACACACACACATATGCACACACTAAGTCACCATTTGTATAAGCCATGGCCCCAAATGCCATCAATACATTTTGATTATTTTCTATAATGGGACTTAGGAATTTATTAAACATTTCCTTTCTTTCTTTTCTGATTTCCAGTTTTCTTCTGGGCAGAATAGACATAAGACACAGGAAATGGTGAAGCCAGTTGCTAGGCTAGGGTCTGGAAAGATGGGAATCAGTTTAGTCAATGTAATTCAAAACTCATTTATTGGTGGGAGTTACCAAGCTGATGGGTCTTTGAAGGGGGAGGAGTTCTCAGGATCTTCATGGAAAAAGATAGATGTCTGGAAAGATGAATAGTGAATAGTCATTACAGAGGAGAGAATGAACTGAGAGGTGTAAAAGCTGCTAAACCTAACCTTAGGATATCATTCTCTTTTTCTCTTAGGGAGACATCCTGTGTGAAGACGGTGTAAAAGAAGTTTGTGCAACTAAAGAAGGAGCTAAAATGAAATTTTTAGTGACACTCTAACTTCTCTTACCTTTTGCTTCCTTAATGATTTTTTTAAATGACTAAAATACTGGTGTTTAAAATACATATTCAGTATTCAATAATATGAATAGAAAATTAATCATAAAAAGCATACTTTGGCCTTTTAAAATTTTTTGTTGTTGTTGTTAGAACAACTCAGCAAAATAAAATTCCGGTTTATTGTTGGACAACATTGTTTTCACACATACATCAAACAGGCCAAAAAAAAATAAACAGCAACTTCGTAGACAAAAAAAAGGAAAAAAAAAGAAACCTTTTATCTTTGGCCTTTTTCTCATACAAACCAACTCATACAAACCAACTACTTATAGTACAGCTAAGTACATACACAAAAAAATTTACTGGGATGCTCGGAATAAGATTGTTTTTTTGTTGTTGTTTTTGCTTTTTTTTACAAGGTTTTTTTTCTCCTTTGAGATAATGAACATGCTCACACCACAAGTAAAGTCAGAAGTAGGACAGAGAACGCTCCAAAGGCTGGTTTGGTCATCACGAGATCATTAAAAATGGCTGACCCCTAACAATATGTACAAAAATATAAAGTGTAAATAAAAAATACAAACAAATTTTCCTTTTTAAAGTACTTTTAAGAAAAAAAGCAGGGCCTTGGAAGTTTTGGTTTTTTTCCTCCCCTGTTGCAAATTCACGTTGTGGTTTTGGTTGGGTGGTGGAGAGCGTGTGTCATCATCTGCGGGTGGCACTGCCCGTGGTGGGCGGGCAGGCAGGCGGGACTCTCTACTCGAAGGTGACCACGTTTATATTCTGAGACGGGAAGTAGAAGGTGAATAGGTTACGGCGGCCTTTTTTTTTTTTTTAAGTTTAACTTTTCCTTTTTTGCTGTCTAGTCATCTTCATCAGTCTTCTGCTTCTTGGTGTCAACATCATCATCCTCATCATCTTCAGCTGCCCGTTTGCCCGTAGCTGCCTCAGCCTCCTCGTCTTCATCCTCCTCCTCACCATCACCTTCCTCCTCTTCCTCCTCCTCCTCTCCTCCTTCTTCCTCTCCTTCGTCTACCTCATTGTCAGCCTCCTGCTCCCCATTTTCCTCATTAGCGTTCCCATTAGCAGGTGCATCTCTTCCATTCTCTGCCTCCTCCACAAGTTCCTTCTTCTCCTTTAAGTCCTTGGTGGTGATCTCGGAGCTGGTGTCCACAGACGAGTCTGACATGGTGGGGCACGCCGGTGATCCTAAGCAGCAGATTAAGAAGAAAGGGAGAGTTCGAGGACTCTAGCGAAATAGCTGCTGGAGTCCGCGGCTGCGGAAGAGGTGCGTGGTGGAGGTGGCTGCGCGAGAGCGGAGCCAGACACGGGAACAATGCAAAGATGGCTTTTCAGAGCAGCCAGTCTGGCCTTTTAAAAATTTTACGTAAATCCTCTCACTTATAAATATTGGGTCTTCGTAAAAGTCACGATGTATTTTGTCTATGTTTTTCAAAGGTCATTTATTTATATAAAGAACAAAGATCAATCAATGATATATTACCCGTTTTGTTCAATAACCCTTTGCCATCTTTCAGTGAGCTTCATAATTCCTCGTTCGTAGAAGGACCTGTCTTTTTCAGCAAAAAACTGAACAAGGTGCTGATTTACAGCCTCATCTGAATTGAATGTTATACCACGCAAGGAGGTTTTTTTTTTAAAGATTTTTATTGGGGAATTGGGGGAAGGGGAACAGACAAGTTGCTGTCATTTTGTTCTTCAGTCTAGTTGTGGAGGATGTTGCAGTGTCACTGGCCCTCATATGTGGGATCCGAACCCCGGGCCCTCTGGCGTCCCAAGCCAGTTCTTAACCATTGTGCCACTTGGCCGGCCCAAGGAGTTTTGAAGAGAGCAGAACAAGTGGAAGTCTGACGTTGCAAGGTCAGGCAAATATGGTGGGTGTGGCAGCACATCCCATCCAAGCTCCAAGAATTTTTGACAGATGATCAAATTTGTGTGTGGTCTTGCATTGTTGCGATGGAACACAACTCCTTTACAATTAACGAGCTCTGGACATTTCTGGATGATGGACTTTTTCAAACTGTCCAATTGCTGACAGTACACATTCGAATTGATTGTTTAGTTCCTTGGTAGGAGCTCGAAAAACATGACACCTTTAAAATCCCACCACACTGAGATGAATGTCTGCTTTCGATGTCTTTTGAGGCAAATCATCACATCAGGACCAAGACTATTTTCATACCACATTGTTGCAAACAATCCACTTCTCATCACCAGTTATCAGTCACTTCAAAAAAGGATCATTTTCCTCACGATTAATGAGCATATTGCAGATGTTTATACTTGCCTTCAAATGAACATCTTTGAGTTCACGCGGAACCCAAATATCGAGCTTGCTTACATATCTCATCTTCTTCAGGTGGTCATGAACACTTGAATGATGGATGTTCAATCCAATTTCTGCAATCTCTTGTGTCGTGTATCGTGGGTTTGAATCAATCAATGCCTTTATTTTGCCTTCATCAACCTCGATGGGCCTCCCTGACCGAGGAGTGTCGTTGAGATCAAAATCACCAGCACGGAATTTTATGAACCATCGTTGGCACTGACGTTCTTGTAGAGCATTGTCACCGTAAAGTTTATGCAACTTTTCACAAGCTTGACGCGCGTTCTTCCCTTTATGGAAGTAAAACAGTAAAATATGGCAGAAATGCAGTTTGGTCTTCCATCTTCAACTTGTAAAATCTCCAAAACTCAACCAAATTTTCAATTTTTTTTTGAGAATTAAGCTAGAACTGTCAGCTGTCAAATGACATAGCAATAACATAGATGCGAATGACTCTAGTACTTCCACAAATGAACTAGTGCCATCTGTTGCAAACACGCGTCATGACTTTTCCAAAGACCCAATAGTAGATTGTTGTGCCAGTTTAATACAACCTCAGTCTGAATTTTGTTTTCTTTACTTCCTAGCTCTGTGACCTTGGTCCAGTAATTCACCTTTGGAAGTTTTTTGTTGTTTTGTTTTTTTAACTCGTATATAGAAATCATACTTATAATAGGTTTTGTGTAAGGATTAAATGCAGTAAAGCCCTTAGCACAGGGTCTGGCATTTTATGAGCTCTTAATAATTGGTGGAGATGACTAAGTGTTTTGTCATTTGTTAATTGTTTTGCTTGCTCTCTGACAAACACAGTATGTCTAAAGTGCCTGCAAGAAATCTGACTATACAATATTTTAAATTAACAATTTTGCTTGATTTCTAGTTCCCTTTTCTCAAGTGAACTGCCTTGTAATTTATATGGCAATCTTATTTTTAACAAATGCAACAGAAAGATGTCACCTAACAGCTCTTGGAACAGATTAATGGAATCAAAAAGTACATTTTCTGAATGTTAGTACATAATTGCTCTTGCTTAAAATTGATCTCTTCAGTTTCAAACTTTGAGAAGCATCAAAGCTATCATGTTAGGCTGAGAGTATGCACTGATCATACATGGCATTCTGGAAAAATCACTGTGACAGAAAAACCACTAGGATTTTTATAAAACAGTCACAACAAATTTCCTTCTGCCTTCTTCCTTTCACAGTGAAAACGAGAAAACAATACAATTATATAAAGAAAACAGGCAGGATTCATAGATAGATGGACTCTGAGGAACAAAAGCAAGCTAACAATTAAAGATAGTTCAAATAGTGGGCTTTGATGTTCTTTTTTTTAGCTGTCCTATTAAATATATATTTTTCTTTTCTCACATTCCAATTCTACCAAATATAAAAAGCCCAAATACAAAAGAAATAATAAAATGCTTGATAATCTAATAACAGAATGCCAAGAACAGGAAACCTGTCCTACCACAAAGTGCAATTGAGACCGCCTAGACCACAGACAGTTTATGATCAGAAATCTTGGAAAAAAAAAAAAGCCATCAATAGAATGATGTTTCTACTGTAAGCTCATGGTCACAGCAAGGCTACAAGACCAGGGACATAAAGCCCTATTAATTGTACTTCCCAGACCAGGGACATAAAACCCTATTAATTGTACTTCCCAGACCAGGGACATAAAACCCTATTAATTGTACTTCCAAGGGGTCACCAAATATCTCTGCTTGCCTGCCAAAGAGTCCCGATTTATGCCTTTTCTCTGGTATAATTATTAATAGAATACCTTTAACTCCAAAAGTGTCCCAGTTTAGACAATAAATTACATAGCTGCCCTAGGCTTACCCCTTCTCTCTTTTACTTTCTTCTCCCTCAAAAAAGGAAAAAAAAAAAGAAAAAGCTAAGGGCAAGCTATTTTAACTCTTCAGGGTATCTGAAAGAAAAGAAAAAGTTATCTGTTTTCTAAGCTCAGCTATTCATTTGACTACCTTTCAATTTCTTAAAGCAGGGAAGATTTTTAGTATGAATTGACTTTGAAAAGTCCCCGTCATTTTGGGCAGCATCACCCCTATTTTTTCCCCACCACTCTCTCTGCCCTATGAATTTCTGCCTAACTCTATGACATGATGTTGCATCTGCTTATTGAATTCTATTTGAAATGTTCAAGGAATTACACCTCACATGAGGACTCCTTAATATAATTGCTGTTTCTTTAAAAAAAAAATTAGATGTTCAACTTAGGTTACATAGCCAAGAATAGCAGTTCATATCAGCTGCAAGAAAGGCTCAGCACCTTACAGCAAGAGCCCCTTAATCAAAAAGCAATCTTTTGGGATGAGTTAGTAGTACTTTGCCTCCGGTGCTAACCAAATCCCCTACTTTTATTGTATATTTCCACAGGAGTCTAATGATGAAATACATTAGATCTTCTTGCAGGTGAAGTAGAAACACACTTAAAGCATTGCTTTCGGGCGGGAGTGGGGAGAGTCACATGGTGCTTCTAAAAACAAGGGGAAGAGGTCAGCAGCAATAATGGCATCCAAACCCACAATGAATTCTGCAAGTAAAAGCCTTGATGAAGAAAGGGGGAAATTCCCTCTTTCCTAGGAAATTCACTATGAGCACTATTGCACAGAAGAGAAACACAAAACAGTTTGCTTTTGTCGTGGGTGGGGCTCGGGGTGCAAATCTTCATTTAAAAATAAAAAGCTTACCTTTTAGTCATGAAATTGTCCTTGACATTTATCCAGAAAAGCTTCACAGCTGCAAGGGAAAAAAAAAAAAGACATTCCTGTGAAGAAAAATATGCTGGTACTAGAGAATCAAGATTTACATTTATCCATTGGGTTTTATCTGCTCTAGATAAAGACACAAGCATATTATAGTGGGCGAGAATATAGGAGGACCTAGGTCTTCATCACTTGTACGTAGATGGCATGAATTGCATTTAATTGACTATTTATTTGTATTTTATTTATTTTTACATATGCATGCAAACTGACATATAATGCACACACATATACAGACACAAATAAGATATGTCTGTTGTTTTCTGATGTATATTCTTACATGCACACACATACACAGAAGCACTCTCACATACATCAAGGTTTTGCAGCACAGGTGTAGGCACAGTACCTCTTTTTCTCAAATCATTGTCTTATGACAATGCTGTACCCTCAAAACAGCTGCAGTTTCCTTTTTGTTCTGCGAGTAACCTCAGGTCAAACAGGTAAAAACAAATCATGAATTGGGGGAAAGGCTGGAAATATGCCATATTTGTTTTTTTCTGTTGGTTTTGTTTTGTTTTTAACCTTCACTGATTTGGGAGAAGTAACTAAGTGTTTTGGGATGAAATATGTCCTGCTGGGTGATAGGCTGCATGGGAAAGAGAAATTAGACAAAAGGTATTGAATAATAACCACCAATGACTTTACAGCCAATTCTATTAAAGTGTCAATAGAACTTGAAAGCAAGATTTTCAGAAGGTAATTAGCAATGTCTCCCCCAAGTATAATCAGGAATTGACTATAATTGACCACTTGTCAACTTTTACCTGCCACTATGATTTCTTATCTCAGTGGGGGAAAGAAATGGCATAGCGACCTAAAAGCTCAGAATTATGAATGGCAGAAACTCCTAAATATAAAAGGCATTTACTATCTTTCCAAACTTTATCAGCATTGAATTAACTTGGCATATTCTTGATGACCTGGCCCAGTGATGAAGTACGTGTCACCTAGCATTGTATGTATAATATTAGCATAAGCTGCTTCAAAGCTTTGGAGGAATGAGAGGAGGGTGAAAAAATAAATATAACTATACACTGTTTAAATAATGGTTGTATAAGTAAAAACCATATTGGAAATACAGAATAAAAAATATCTTGAAGTACAACAAAAAT